ATTTCAATAACCTGAAATACGATCGCAAAGGATAAAAAATATAGATGTATGTTTAAATATTATAAAAAATAAGAAATTTTACGTCAATATATATTGCCGAATATAATTTTATAATAAAATCCAAATTTTCGAGGATATAAAATTTTCCGGATAAAATTTATAACACAAATATCAAAATCGCGTTGCATTTTAAGTTTTTGTCGACAATGAACGCAGGCCAGTCCCATCGTAAATCATCGCATCGTTAGATATCCGCCGCGAATTCTATCAAAAGTCGGACCAGGCGCTAGCCTATAGAGAGAAGACGTCGCGACAAATTGACAGCAATGAATTTGTCCCAATGGCGATGCACTTTGACTATGTGACAGTTTAAATGCAAACTCATTTAAGCATTGACGACGGTTTGGCCACCGTCGCCTTGGCCCGCCCGAATTGTTGATGCACGATGCTGATGTCCGATCTAAATCGAGGATATCGCCGCACGCGAAGTTCATTATTGCATGCCGGATTTAGAAACCGGGGCTTCCTAGATCGGATTTTCCATCCGGGTCTAACGACGCAATTTAGAAAGTATAGTTGCAGCAACAAAACTGTAATATTGACGAAACTCCTATTCATTTTGTTGAACATCTGAACGTTGTATGAATATTTTCTTATATTAAATTTGATAAGACTCAATAAATAAAACAATTATATCACTGAAGATGGCTCGATATGCCAAAACGTATGTTTTATATTTTAATACAAATCACACTAACAACAAGCGTTTTGGCTCTTCTTGCTCCTTCTAAATACATTATAATTATTTTCTTATATTTTTACAACCTCAATAATTTTAGATTTACTAAATATTAAATTTGATTTCCAGAAATTTTATAACAATTTTTTAAACTTATATGTCAATTAACAAAACATTCCTCTATTTTTTAAGCTATTCTTTTCTTTTTTACATACAATTTCTCTTTATCTTAAAAAATTGGCTTGATGCCCAGTAATTTAAAACTTTTGCTACCAGAATGTAGTAAGTAATGAAGTCGCCGGTATACTTCGTTGAAAGTCATTAGCACACTGAGCATGAGTAATGGAACTCTGTGTCCACAAAGAAAGTGAATATTTCCGACGTTTGTTGCTTTAACGATTTTGTAACTTGCGCTACTAAAGCCGATTCCCACATTTGCTTCCTGATGTATCGCGAATCTTACAGATAAAAACACCCATTATCTACCCTGCCTACCATAAATTACACTGTCATGTTATCACAGTCATCCGTGTGATAGAAAAGCGAAAAAATTCCACTTGTCGCGGAATCACAAAATTTCTATTTTCACCGCTATAATACATTTATGACAATGCATGATAATACTATATACAGAGTTTATACAAATTAGTATAAATTATTATAAATTATTCACGCCGTAAAGAATTTTACTACTAATTATTAACACAACTGATTATTAATAAAAATATATGTACAAATTTATGCAAATGGAAATAATAATTTATAAAAATTCAGCAAGTTTTTACCTATTAATTTCAAAATTAAAAAATTTCCCGTTTTTAATTATTCATAATAGTAATCGATAATGACTTTGTAAGCGCGCCCTTAAAATCATCATTCGGTATTAGTATTTTCACTAATTAATATATGTTAGTTTCCACGAAATGGTTTCCACGAATTACTTAAATTTGTTCGGCGAATCGAAGAGTCATCAAACTCGCAGCACCCTCATTTGTATTCCATTCGCTTGCCAGAACTGTGCAAATAAGCCTAAGACAGCGCGTACGGAGGAATTCTTTAGCGATATATTTTCGGATCTCGCCCTTGAACGGTGGAAAAAATTGCTCTAAAAATACGTAGGCGAACGCAGGCATTTTTTTTACGGGCTGTGAAACATATTGATCAACATGTAATGGCTTATCGCGCTCATTCGCTATCTCGAAGCTGCATTTATACCTCGCGAGATTAAAGCCGATTGTCATTTAGATGTCATTTTTAATAAATACACGTTGGCGCGATTTTTATTACGTGCGTTCGGATCGACCTACGTTATTTATTCCATTAATACAGCCATTATGATGAATTACTAACGTATCTATTGAATCACCAACGCCAACTCGAATCGGAACACTTCTCTAGTAAAGAATAATAAAGTAGATTAAATACACCGTGAATCGATAAGGAATACCGTCAGATAAATTTTCTCGATAAATAACATCTCACCATCATAATAATTATCTCAAATGTAAGAAAATTGTAGATTAATTTAACTTTTATTCTTATTTAAAAATTAATTAAGATTTAAATCTTCGGGAGCGATGTTGCTTTTATCTAAAAATGTTTTGCTGCATTCGAAATCGAGTTATGAATATCAAATTTATATTTATCTTCCTGATAAATTTAATTTATGAGAAGATAAAAAAGAATAATATTAGTATATCGCTGTCTAATATTTTTAATTTATTTAACTGTTTTTTTAATCTCTCACAAAATTGAATCATATCGACTGGAGATATATATCATACCGCCCTTCCCTATTAATCCTTATAAAAGAATATTTCAGTAAGTGTAATATCTATCATCGATGACACAAATAGGTCGACCATAAACAATTGCGTAAGCTGATAAGCTTTTATGCAAAGGTAAACTGTCAAAACAAACGTAAAAATCGTTTAACCCTAATTATGGAAGCATATTTATTACTTTTTCTCTTTGAGTTCGACAGTCTATCGATTTTCTAATCGAAAGTCTATTGGAAATATCTTTCCAAGATAATGCAGATTTTTCATAAATTGTAAACGATTTTCCCAAATATGTAAAAAAAAATTATACAGATATCGAGTAAGAGTTTCTGAAATATCAGTTATCTTTTTTTACATTTTTTATATTCATTATTTGTATTAAAAAGAAGAATAATACTATAAATATGACAATCAATAAAGTATATTAAATATTTCAATATGTTATTGAAATAATCATACAACGTGATTCAATCTATATAATCTGCATAATCAATGATTCATCGGCTTCTCTGATGAGCTAAAAATTATCTCACCAATGGAATAGTGATGATCTCACTAAATGTCACAATTGACATTTTTTTCAGCACAGTGGTGAAATAAAATATTGATAAACGTCCTTACTTCTCGGAAGAAACTTGCAATAAATTTTTTTAATATATCAGACAACCAATGAAAGTTCGTGCGGTTTTGCTGATAATAAACTTCGCAGGAAACCACATAAACTTTGATTGGTTTCCTGATTTAAAAAAATTTGTCACAAGTTTTTTCTTACCTTAATATAAAAATATATAAACTCAATTATATTTAACTTCGATTTATGTGTGTTAATTCGTATACGAAAATGTTTTCATATAATTATGTATTCGCATAGAAGATTCTCGATTTTCAAATTAAGTTCATGAATAAATTATATATTATAATTAATATAAAAACTTATGAATTTGCGATTCCAAGTAATTCTGTCGGCTATAAAAACGTAGCCGAAAGATCGAATCGCGACGCGATACACTCACCACTCCGAGTCACACATCCGCAGATGCGCCTCCCCCTCATGATACACGCACGATATGCACTCGTCGCGTATCGTCGATCTCTTAATCCTCAGCCAGTGCAACGCGATCGCGTAGTTCTTTAGCAAATGGGTCTTGCAATTCCGCGAGATCTTTAGCGCCGCCGAGATGTTCTCCTTGTCGCCGTGAAGTCGCCGGACTCGCACGGAGGTTTTGCGAGTTTTTATCATCTCGTCGGGCCACAAAATCGCGATACTATTCACACATCACAGAGTTTCTTCTCGCCAGCGTGGAACATCTCACAAAGGAACTTTCGATAGCTCTTCGTCTCGCTTTTCCGCGGTTACGATTAGATTGCGTCCACGCAATACGCGCCGATTTTTTATCAGTTTATTTTTTAATTCGACAAAATTGAGAAACGGGTTACTTCCCGGACGGGCGGCGGTTTGCAGATCAACGAGGCGTATCATTACGGCACGACGCACGATAAGGCAGCGTACGGTCCTATTATCAGCGCGCAACACCGACGCCGAACGATACGCGAATAGCAGGAACGCGGCGGTTCTGTTTGACGGCACCGTAGTAGCGCTGTGCTTATCAGTTGCAACGAACCAACCACTCGTTTATCATCGACGATGTATTGTCGGCCACCTCTCAGCGAGTAAGCACCTGTGTGCCTTGTATACGCACCTGACGCGCGAATTATGTATGAATTATGTAAGGAAGAGGCGCAAGTTGTCAGCTCATTAAAATTGTATACGCTTGTTATTGCGGTTACCGGTGTCTGTTATTGCGGTTAAACGATATCGCCGTAATCAAAATTACCAATTTTCGAATCTCATGACGCAAAATTGAGCAAGCTGTTATTTGTTCCAAGATTTTTTACATATTTATGTATTATTATATTTTAAAATGATTAAATATAAGTATAAATATAAATATATTATATTTTAATAATTGAGTTTTTCAAATAGAATACTATATAAAATTACTAAATAAAAAGAAAAATGATTAAATATTGTAAAATAAATTAGAAAATAATTTTGCATTATTGTAATTCAAGTGACTTGCTACATTTATTTTAAATTCATTGAAAAAAATTTTTTTATGTCGATCATAATCTTGACGAGATATGCGATTGTGTGTCTCATAGACGATACATGCAATTCATTCATAAAATCAAACAATCATTGATAAATACGCACACACAAGTGTTTCTAAAGTGCTCGACTAATTAACTTATCTATGCGGTAAAAAATTTCTCCGGTCTTTCTCTTTTTAATTAACTAACGAACTTGTAATTACTGTTCATAATAGCGTCGCTAGTCATTTCTCTGCGAATCATTCCCATAAACATTAGTTAAAATTGGCTGAATTATTCTCTACTCCTTTCTACTTTGCCTAATTAATTCAATCTCATTAATTTATCTAACGTTTGTATGGGAAGAGTGATATTGTTCATTCACTTACCCATTGATGATGGAAGCGGATTCATCGGCGTTTGATGGGCTCGACACCTGGACTTTGGGCACGGTATAACTATCCAAACCTTGTCCATAGCCTCCTTGCTGCTGATGATGGGCGGTGTAGTCATCGCTGTCGCTGCTCGGCGGTTGCTCCGATCCGACGCCGCCACGAGGTCTGCAACAAAACACATCATCGATTATTGATGAGCCGAAGAGCGAGAAACCAGAAGAGTCTTCGTCGCAAAATAATAGAATAAATCGACAAGTCCTTCGCAATAAAAATTATATTATCTGTTACACCGAAAAACGCAACTGAACACTTCTCGGAAACGTTGAGTTCCCATTCCACGGAAATTATATCCCACGACGCGCATTCAACGTGAAATGCGCGCCTTTTTAATGGCGTTCAACAAGGCTGATTAAACTAGTCCCGCTATCTCGCGATTCAGAGGTCGACATATCAACTCGATTTTCTAATCTTCCTAACGATTAGTTAACGTGAGCGCGTGGGTTCAGATCGCTGCATTAGTGGCACGATATAGCACCGACGGATGTGTATTGATCCGCCCAGAGACGAAAGATTACATCTCCAGGATATCTCGTGCATTTTTTAAAGACGCAGTAGAAATTAAGAAGAAAGTTATAGAAACTTCATTGCGGGGTGATACAATTTTCATTGTGAATAATATATATTGCCCTACTCTTTTTTTTTTTAGCGATGTGAATGTGCAAGATATGCGTTGGTGAACTATAAGAATTAATATTGCAATTGACAGTCGGCACACGTGAATTTTTGAGCTCGAGGAAATACGCAGACCGTTATGACGAACGTTGTCCGCCAGCAAACGTCACGATCAACTGTCGCCAGAAGCATGATAAACCCCATCGCGGTGCGGATCGGGAAATTAACTGGTCGAGTTAACCAAGCCGCGAGTTAATCAACTCCCATCCCGGGCAAAGTGCGCATACGATGTGTGTGCTTCAATGAGAGCAATGGAAAGATTCGAGTCTCCCGTGAAATATGCTCCTCGCGCGCATTATTGCGACAATTGTCGCTTGTAAATTAGCTCGCTCGACTTCTCGGTACCTATTCTTCATATTTATTACCTCAATTATCTGTGTCTAAATAGGCTGCTATCTAAATCCTGTAAGTAAACTATTATCTTTAACGTGATGTGTTACAATAAAACTTTATATTTTAATTTTATGATACGTGTTTTAATTAAAATATACTTGAACATTTGTGGAAATTTAGGTTTTACGATACAATTTTTAGGAGAGGAATGTGAATACATAAAATTTTAAAAATAAATGCGCAAATAATTGGTCGGCAGAACTGATAAAATTTGCAAATAAAATTTTCCAAAATTCAATTTTTTAATAGACCGTCATGGAACTTTTATAGAAACAGAGTAATTTTTAAAAATTCAATGCTGTAACCTTCACTTATTCGCAACATCTCTCAATGCCAATTCATATTTCAATAATTCAGCATATACAGAGAGTCTCGCGTTCAATAGTTCTTCCTTTTCTCTCCTCTTTATCTGAATTCTTACATCATCGCAGAGCAGAGACAAGATTGCAGAATCGATCGTCCTCGAATCGTGCTGGCATTCGGCCAGTGCAGGCGCATTATTCCGGAAATGTATATATTACCCGAATAAACTTACGTGCTCGACATAATGAACGGAGAAAAAAAAAGATGTTGCGAATTCCCATGTTATCCTGTTCTCACGTATCCGTCACGTCGGCCGTTATAATGCTCGTGACAGGACAAATGTGTCTGCCGCGACTCTCGGGGTATTCATCATGTCCGTAACAAAATCCGAGTCCGAGACGAAAGCCAACCCTTTCACCCCGTGTTTAGCGGCGAACGTAGCGATTTCTCCGATTTCACGTCTCGCGTTCAACCGGCAAGATTGCATTGTTCAACGTTCAAGCTTATGATCATCGAACTATTTTCGTTCACGACATCGAGACGGTTCTTTGTCGCGATGAATCACAAGGCACTGAACTTTCGAGTCGTCGACTAGCGAAACGCTACACGCCACTGATTTACATCAAACAGAATTATTTGCGAACTTCCTTTTACCCACGGCACACAATTCGAAATGAAATTGCTGCTTTGTGAAAGCCATGCAAAAGTGTAGATCTATATCTATTAGCCGATAGAATTGTAGCGTGTTTATCAATACAGGTAGTGTTTATATAGCTCTATTTATTTTCGTTTCTTGTGTCTTGTGTATACTAACAACTGACTACTATGAAAATTCACGATCTCTGACTCACGCAAGTCTTTGATCTTTCGGCTTGGTAAGGACTCGGCGACCTCGATTCTGATCGTCCACGGTTATCTAAGGCTGTATGCATAATCGCGAGCGATAAAGATCGGACAATGCAACTGCGAAATAACCCTAACAAAAGTCAAATGTCGTAACGTCTACATATCACGAGATACATATCGCTGGATGGAGATAACAATTTTATTTTAAGACGACTCGAGTTTAAAGATTTCATTCCCATACAGCCCGCTTCTTTAAGAAGAGATAAACGTAAATTTAGACTCTGATGAATTTTTGTAAAAAATAATTAGACCATTGTTGCATTGAATCTTCGAATTATACAAAGTATGCCAAAACCCTTTTTTGAACTGTCAATGCATTTAAACAAAAAATAAAGCTACAATTTAATCCAATCGGTTGCAGTCGATTATAACGATCAAAATACATATTTAAAAATGCAAAAATTCTGCAGTTTAAGGCAAGAACAACCAATGTCACTTCCTAGTCGAAATAAAGTATGCTGCTATAATAAACTCTGACAAGTGCGATGCAGGAGAATTAATTTTATGGCTAAAAGCGAAGCGGTAAACAATTCAGATTTCCGAAGTCTGTAACTCTCCTGTAAAAAAATCTTGCTAGAGCTTATTAAACGTTGCAACATGTTTTATTCGTACCGACAAGCGACATTTATTCTTCTCCGAGCTGGGAATGATATGTTTGTCGCGGCAGCTAGGTCAACGTGAACGAGATTTATCTCCGGTAGCCGATGTGCATTACGGCCTTCGGTCGCACCTGCGGTGACTGTTATCGTAGCTGGCAGTCCAGTAGAGAGGCGCCACTGTCCCGCGTTGTTGCTGCTCACAGCGGTGAACACATGCAAAACCTCCTTCCTCCTCCCGTGCTGAAACTGGGCCTTGCCCCACACGCGAAGCGCAGCTTCAATTGTCCCAATCTTCCCGCATCCTTCTTCCGCTTCTCGCGCGACTCGCCGACGAGTCGTGCGCGACGCGACGGCCTCGGGGATCGCAACGGGATCGCAGTCCGCGCCCCAGGCCGAGATACTCTCCTTTTATCAGCTGACAGCCTCCGCCGAAAGATTCCTCTCCGAATATCGACAATCTTCTACGTCTCCCCCATCGAGAGTCCCGGCCCTCCCGTCGCGACTCCTTCGTAATCCTTTCAGCTGTCACTGGAGCAAAACGTCACCGAAAACCGTTGGCAAGAATCGTCCTCCGAGGAGCAGGACGCGACTGGCCGGCGCGCTCGCCTTTAGCGGCGGGAACGCGACGATGACAACGACGACGGGAGATAATGACGTGATGCGCCGCCGCCGCTCCTCGGCGTCGATCGCGCGATATTCCGGATGTGTCTTGACGACGCGAGAGGAGGAATACGGCAATGCGGCGCGAAGCGTGTCCGCGCTCGTGCTCTACTCTCCGCAGCAACGGCTCTCGGCAACGCTTACGCGCGGATGTGTACGCGCGGGTCCGCGCACACCCACACGCACACGTATACGGGAGCGCGCGTGCGAGCGGCAGGCTGGTACCGCCGCGTCTGCGCCGCGCGCCTCACCTATTGACCGAATATCATCGCGATAGCTATATGGCTACGATATGCTGGATGCACACACGGCGAGCCTGACTTCGCGTGGTTGCGCGAGCGCTGCCGTGAATCCTGAGACTCGCCGTCGTTCGCTCTTCCCGAGCGGTCGCGGTGACCGCGACAGCCATCAGCTGATCGCTGACAGCTGATCGCCGTTCTCGCGCGTGCATCGCGTAATTGGCAATTTGCGAAGAATCCCGTCCGCCCCGCGTTTTCCCTCGCGTCGTCCCTCGCGTCGTCCCTCGCGTCGTCCCTCGCGTGAATCTCATCGTTCTCAGCGAAGTTTCCAGCGGCGAAAATAGCCGGTGCGATCGCGATTTCGGCGACTCGATAACATAGCTTCACCTTTCACCTTTCGGAGCGGAAAATCACGCGATCAATCTTTTTGGCAAGGCCACTCCGCCAACGGCTTCTGTTTTCCCTCCGTCTCGCCCGGCGGCCTCTTCTTATCTTTTTCGTTTTGCTTCACTTACTCGCAAGACACTCGTTCGTCTGTTACGTCGCGGCGCTGCTCTTTCCAACGTCAATACTTTTCATCGCGTATTTTTTCCTATCGCGTACATTCAGTCGGCGTATATTTGCGCCGCGGTCATTTTCACGAATGCATTACCCTTACCTCATCGCAGAGGTGCGCCGAGAAGCTTCACCTTAGCACACGAGTCTCGTTTCGAGAAATTACAACGCACCTCTCTGAGTTCGATTTTCGCAAGCGTCTCGCCCCAATCACCGCCCCTCGCCGCGGGTTTCCTCATCTATTTCGCAACGAGATGCACGCCGCGTGTCGGCGTGCGTGCCGCCAGGCGGACATTTAATTGCCCAACGAGATAATTGCGACGCAAAAGCGACTTCCCCGTTGAAAAACAAGGGGCCGTCCATAACTCGTCCGTTCCCATCCGCGAACGCGGAAGTACGTCGACGTCGTTTCGACCGAGCAAGGAGGGTCGATCGAAGCGGGAGCGCGAAGCCCTTCGTTGTGAGGGACAGCTTTACACGTCGTTCGCAGAAATAAATACATCCGTATCGCAACGCGAAAGTTCTTAACTCGTTGGGAAAATACACGACTACTGGTTGCAGCGATACTGCAGCTTCGTGTGAGCAATACTTTATTAAGAGACGATGAATTTCTGACGGACGTGTCACGCACGCGAGAGAGGCAGAGAGAAAGAAAGAGAAAGATAATTCAGAATATTCTTCTGGCCTCTTTCCCAGTTACACGTGGGCGAGAGGAAACGTAGTCGGGTATCTCTCTCTCTCTCTTTCTCTCTCTTTTTTTCACGTCCGTGTTCTTCTGTGTTACGTCATACCTGGGTTGCGCAATCAGGACCAAACCCTCGAGCCAGTCCGCCCAGCATCTCGTCGATGCGATTCTCCACGCGACATCGCCTTGACCGAGTAAACGATCGCGAGCGGAATCATAATTTCGATGAGCAACTCAGATTCCGATGTCATTAAATGCCGTGCACGCGTCAAAATCACTGCTATATTTATTCGCAACAAATGAGAAACGCAATAATCGACTTTGACGCGGAAAAAAAAGAAGAACTGAGCTCAGCTGAGATTACATTAATTCTAATTATAAGATCTTAATCCCTAGAAATAAGAAATCTGAATTCCTCGAAGAGAGAAAGAACGAGAGGTGAAAAAACAGGAAGAGAAATACGACTTACGTAGGCATCGACACGGCAGGACATCCGAGTTGCAGGAGACTCCTGGCGAGGTACTCCGGCGCAGGTGCGTCGCTCGCGGTGACAGGTGCGTAGCGCCTGGCGGACCGGAACGATCTGTTGACGTTGCCGCTGCTGCTGTAGCCCGCGCATCTATCCGACGCGGCCGATGACGACGCCGATGACGACGAGGTCGTCGACGACGGCGAGGATCGCGCGCTCGTCGCACCCGCTTGATCCCGCGCGACGTCGACGCGATGATCGGCGTCGCCCGTCCGCGGGATCTTCAAGGAACCACCGCGACGCAGGCCGAGCTCGCTCTCTGAAATTTCAAAATCGAAATGGTTAGATGACTCGGACTGTCATTGGGCTACAATTACGGCGGCAATCGTAGAAGTGAAAGCGAAGGTCGAGAAATTCAGAAAGCGTAAAAGCTACCGCATATAAGGTATCTTTTTACACTCCTTTCAATCCATAAAATATGGAGAGCGTTGTTCCAATATCCTCGATTTTAATTTTTACAGTCGATATCGGAGCAATATTTTCTCAGAGAAAATTTTTCGCGCGGTTGTTTAATTTTTTAACTTAAAATTCTTAATTAAAATCTATATATCTCAATTTTCGGATTAAAATCCATGCATTCTGGTAATCATGTTCCATAGACAGTTCTAGCCTGAGTAAAGTAGTAGACCAGTCGATACTACACTACGAGGCAAGAAAAATTGCTAAAAATTCTCTCACATCGTAAGTCGTTTAATCCCAGAACATTTCCGACGCACTTTGCACACCGAAAGCTACATCTTCGCGACAGCTTGCTCTATCGCATGCAACTCGTTCGAAAGAAGTTAATTTGACGAGTAACAAATTACTGTGAGACAACCAGACAACCGGAACTTATGAAGGGTTAGCGAAGCGGCGTAACAAAACGCATGCCAACGAGGCACTCGTCGTCATTCGACGAGCTCGCTCGCCCTCGTCGTCGCCGCGACAGCCGACTTTAATTCGTTTAAAGCCCTCGGTCGCGCGTTACGTCAGCCAGAGTATTAGCGATGCGCCACATCTCCGATATACTACCTGCATTACGTGAGCGTATTGCAGGCACTTGATGCTTTTAGCGTGAGCGACTTAAGCCTCGTGTTAAACGCGCGCCGGCTTACCTCGAATCTGATACACCCGCAGAGCCATATCAAGGATCGATAGTCCGTTGCCGACCGATCATCATCGTTGATCTAAATCGTCAAGGAACCAACGATTTTTCAAGAGAAGAAGGCGATCAATTGATCTTTCAGTGCGTGAGATTGATTTACGTCTTCAAAAAGATCGACCTAGCATCAAGAATTGGAGATTGAAAAAGGGATTGAAAACGATATAATTTCGGTGCATTCAACACGATGCTTCCATGAGAGCTTTCAAAATTTTACGCGGATTGTCAGAAGCACGTGGTTTATTTCGAGAAGAGTCTCGATTGAAAAATACTTAAATAAAATTGGAAAAAAATAATAAAAAATAAGAGATCTATCTACTATCATTTACATAATCGATCCTGAAATTTCGATAAAGTAACGCAAGTGCCAAAGATAACTTTACATCGTACAAGAAAAGATTCTCTAGAACAGATTAATGCCAAAATAATCTTAGACAATCTAGATTAGAGAATAAATCTAGAAAGAACATAATTCATAAATTTTAAGTCTAGTGTCTACGAGAATTTCATTGCTTAATTATTACTAAATGATTTTCATGTTTCATGCAGTGCCAACTTATGTGTCTTCTACAAAATAAATATTTCCTACCTCGACAATGTTCTAACTCTTCAAAACTATATCGATTTCGATCCCTAATTTCATATCGAATATTTATTTCGACTTCGAATCACAGCATGAATCGAGCAAACAAAAGTCTACTCTGTTTTCGCATGAACAGTATTGTTTATGAATAAAATAATCTTTCAACAAAATAAATATTTTCTACATCGACAATGCGTAAAATTCTAACTCTTCAAAACTATATCGATTTCGATCTCTAATTCCATACCAAATGTTTATTTCGACTTCGAAATGACGTGAATCACAGCACGAATCGAGCAGACAAAAGTCTACTCTGTTTTCGCGTAAACAGTATTTGATATGGTCAACGAACGCCGTACTGTCTCGTGGCCCTCTGTCCAACGACTGAAAATTCGAGGACGCGGAAGAGGTGCGCGTGTATACCGGCACCGCCACGTTGTTGGCAGAACGCCGCGCATCGTGCTGTATGTCTCATGCGGGGAAAACGCCGCATCTCGCGGAAGATTCGCAACACGTAACACCTACGGTAACGATCGAATATCGTCCGCAAATTATTCGCAACACGATACAGTGCAACATTGGGAACATTCTCGTAGGCGGTTCCCTGGAAATCACGAGATCCCAGAATTTCCTCCGGTTTCCAGACACTGGAAATCGTGGGCTGACAAGAAGAGAGATGGCACCGTGTTCTATGAAATTTCGAAATACTATTTCCGTAGGGAAAAAGGAAAATTGTGGAAGAGGAAATGTAAAAAAAAAAAAAAAATATATCAGAGAAAAATTTAACGAGAAAATCATAAATGTTAATCTACTGCAGAATTAGATAAATGAAACAAATTCAAATAAATTCTCGATTTAGCTGTATTTTTATTTGATTCGTATCATTTTTCGCTTAGCCTAAAACGACAATTTAAATCAAAGTTTCAAACGCGTGAAGAGAATATTGAAATAACGATCGATAACAAAGCAATATAGCCCGATCAAACTGCTCGAAGAAAATAAAAAATTACAATTAAAATTTTTATTTCAAAATTTTAATTAAAAATTGCTTGCATTAATATATCTTTAATCAATGATATTCGAATTTTATCGATTGTCATTTGAGTACAAAATCTTTACTCCTGCTATCTATTGTCATTTAGCACTCGATTATTGCATTTATCTGCCATAATTTTCTCTCTTACAAACACGATCACATTCTATCCCTGACAAACACGAAATTTACGAATCCTTGTTGTATGAAGCCTATTCGCCCCTTTATCTAGTATGCTCGTGTAAATTCTCTGCCGCACACATTACGCTATCCATTACTGTTAATCTATTCACAGCAAACATCGATTGATCATATTCCAAAGACTCGAGAGATAATTATTTATCTTCGATATTACAACGAAAATAGCTCGCTTGTGTAATTATATTTAATTGTCGCAGTTGGATGCAGCTGCTGCTTTGTAAAGAGCGACAAGTGTCCGCGATTTCGTCACAGATGTGTTAAAATAATTCCTCTGCTCAGTATATCGTGACAAACGTTAGAAAACTATACCGAGCAAACAAAGAAGGAGAAACAATGAAAGAAATAAAACGAAAATTTGTGAAAATCTAGATTATGGAAAAATATTCATCGCAACGATTATTAAAATTTCTATTTCATAATTTTTCTGTACACTAATAAATTTACAGATTTTTTGTAAAACAGTTTTTTTGATGAGACAATTTAAGCGTAAATTATAATTTTTTATTGCAAGAAAAACCGTTAAACATTTTGATGCATCACTGATTTTTGCAATAAAATAAATTTAATACTAATTAAGTTGCTTCGCATAATTGCTCCTCGTTTAAAATACCAAAGGAGCAGTAATAAAAAGGAGCAAGTCTCTGAGAAAGAAGTTCAAACGGCGTTCCCGATGCGTGTTCTAGAAATATCACACTATAGAGCTTTAGAAAAACAAGCGATGAATAGTCTTTCTCAAAATGTTTCCTTATAGTTCACTTGGGCCGTTCCCAAAACACGTTGCAGAATCGATAGTCGCTGTACGTTTTTGTATGATATTTTAGAGAGTGTTTATGTGCGAACAGTTCCTTATTGCCGTTGCTTTCCCTGTCAGTATCCTATCTCTATCGTGTCAGTTTATTTTTACGCAGTTTCTCCTCGCAGTTCGTTAACATATTACACAATTCACACTTAAATGCGATAATTGTATCGCTTACGTTCTTAGGAAATTCTCTTCGGAGCAAAACAAATTAACAAACGGAGATAAAAAGTCACGAGCGGGATAAGTAATCTCGCCGCACCTTTTACTTTGCTCTACATTCGAGCAATATTCCGAGAATTCTCAATTCAGATTAATGAAAGCACTCCGTTTTGTTTCGCAATGCTTCCCTCCGAACGCGGACTTCCTCGATAAGACAAACGGACAGTTTCCTGTTTGCATAAACGCGCATAAACCAGATTTAGATAAAGGTCGAACGCGCGGGCCGAAGTTCACGTGATGACAATGATGTCTTATATCGAGATGCTATCGGCGATCCGCACGCTATGCGCATTTCAATTCAATGCAAAATAGGTGCAATCCGTCAGCTGTCGGCATGGGATTAATGATCGCAATTTGTCGATTGTATATTCCAACCGAACCGGAAATGATGCATATTAAATTTTTGCGTGCATTTCACACGATTCTCAATTTCCCCCAACTGCACATGACGCACGACGTATAGTCGGCTTACTATTAGAGTGAGCCAGCATGTTAATTCTTTCTATGACTCGTAATAATATAAATAATATATAAACGATATTTACGAAAATTAAATCGCCTATCGAATAGAATTCGAATAAAAGATTTTTCAACATTTCGGGCTAAGAACTGAATTAAAAGCGATAACTTTGTGTATTTGCGAATTATTTTAGCACTTGTGCAACGTCGCCAGTTGCTCTTGACCGCAGTTGGATGGAGTTCAAGGGTTTTACAGTTATCGCGATTTCGTGCGCGGCACGATGTGGTGAATATAATTCGGTCAGCGTGACGTCGGTTATTAGACAGCTGCCAGACAAAAGTGCATCGCAATCGCGTTTAATTTTGGAAATTTGTAGATAGAAATGCAGACAGACGAACAGTGTTCGCTGATAAATAATTGGGATATCGAAACAGTGCGAAGATTGTGCAAAAATAGCGTCGAGCAGGAAACTAGCTCGAGCGGGATTCCGCATCGACGCGCAAAAATCTGGGTCGTTATCCCGATACGTCACGGAGAATCCCGGGGTTCCCGGATATATCGAGAGAATGCCAACGGAACTATGGAAAATTGCTTTCCTCGTCGATCACGTAAATCCCGCCGGGTGACTTCGGCAAAGCCGATAAAAGCGAATTGTCGGAATCTTCCGCTAAACCTTGAGACAAGTGATTCAGAAACGAAACTCGGGCCCGCGTCGCTTTGTTCCGCGTATGCTAATGATCAAACAAGCGTAACGAGCAGTACAGTTGGCAGAGTTTATCTTTATAAAGATAAACTGTGTAATGCCGAAGATTAAGTGTGCATATGATCTTAAATTGTGTAAATTTTCAAAGTATCTCTGAATGTCACTCTTCGAGCGCGCACGCGTTTATGTCAGGCCAACACTATTAACTATATCGCGACAAAACTTTTTCCCAAATAATTTAATAATCCTCGCACATTAATTATATTCTTTTGCGATTTATTTGGAACTTATAATTAGTATGTATTTGAAGTAAAAAGACGAATTGTCGCGAATCAACTGTCTCTTTTTTTTTCATTATGAAATGATACGTGGGTGTTTCGTGATGTAAGCATATAAATTACAAATATACTCTTTAATCGGCATCACATGCTTACACGTCTCGTTATAATAAGCTTATGATGTGCGTGATAACAGCGCGCTCACGCAAGAAAACGTAACATGCTGCTCGTGTCATACGTCATATATGTCTCTGATCGTATGTCAACGTGCGTAACATTGCACATGTTCTATTTGACAAGGTTCTTAGTAACATGAGAGCTCGTATTTAGCTGAGAAGATGAGTCAGAATGAGAGAGACTGACGATTAAACATTAATTGCTTAATCCAAGAATTCGCGCTCTGAACAAAGATACATTTTTCTGCAAGAATTCTTCCTTGTGTATTATCGCTACAAATTTTACTACTAGAAAAATAATTTAGAAAAATTTTTAATAATAAATAAAGGAACACTGATGATTTTCAAAATTTTCATAGATCTTTTACATTTTTGTCTTATTAAATAAAAGGACAAAAATGTTAATATTCAAATCAATATTTTTAATAATTTGTCAAAAAATCTACTGAAAAAAGTGCAATTGGCTTTAAAATAAAATCCTCTGCGAGAAAAAAAATCACAAAAATAAAATTTCGTTACAACAAAAATCTTTTATTCATACATTATAATGGAATTGTATGACTTTGTCAATAAAAGATATATTTTTAACATAGCACGGATAAATATAGAAAAGTCCTTTCCGTACGGAAAAGGATATCGATCGAATCGCGATGTGGAAGCACGCAACATTGTTTAAAATTATGAATCAATGTAAAAAAGTCTCTATTGTCATCATTTTCACGATTCTAATTTTAGAGTTATTTCTTAATACGTGCAAAATATTGGACCGATTTCAATAACTACGAAACTGTATTTATAACAACTTATCTAACAAACAACTTATCTAACAAACAACTTATCTATACTTCTGTTTAACACAATAAATAGATGTGACTTAGGAAGACCTGCGATTAACGCAAAACTTAACTAATTTAAAAACCATAGTATAAAAACAACCTGAAAAAACCAATAATTTTCGAAACAAATACAGTGCAAGAATTGGAAATTGCAGATTTTTCATCGTTTAACCTTGAGGATTACTTAGGGAAAAAAAAATTGAATTAATATTGATACGATAAAGCTGCGATCGAGAAACTTTGGAACTTTCGCGTTATTAAAAAGATTGAATTGGCGAAAGTGAGTCTCGATTCCACAAATCTCCCCTACAAATCCTACTTAACTTCCCCTGATCCTTACCTTCGGCAGAAGTGATCGACGGTATCCTCAGACTCGTGCCCCGCCGCAGATTGACGGTCGTGTCTACTTCCGGCTCGAGCATTTCTGCGTCGTTCGTTAATATGTCCATGCCGCAGCAAAAGCAAGCAAGAAAAGAAAGTCGCGAAACACGACTCAAACAAAACTCGGCCAACCTGATCGCGAGCGGACACTGGTCAACGGTGTCTTCTGCTCGAACAGGCGAGGAATTCACGAGGATGACTATCGACCGGCACGTCGCCTATCGCGCGGATCGACCAATGGTAGTGAACAGGTAACAGTCACGTGTAGCCGCTTTCGACAGTACGTCCTCGGAAGATCCGCCGTCAATGCCGCACGACTCGATATTGGCAACGCACTCGCACAATTCTTTTTCTTTTTAGACGCGATCTATAGTTAGTTTTACGATGAACTGAGATATGTATTTGTTTGTCTGTTCGCGGTATTATCAAGGCGTCGTTTCGTCGGTTAATGAAGTTTTATCACAGATATCGCAACATTTATTCGCGGACGATGACGCTGTTGCGGGAACGTTATCGCTTCTTTTCTTCCGCCCGTTGATTCGTTTCGCGTGAGAATTACATGCGAGTAATAGACTCGATTTATTTTCGTACTCGTGCGCGACCCAGACCCTGAATCATTCGCAGCGACGATCTGATTGATACTGCTCGCGAATGAATTACTGAGAATTACTGGGAATAGAATTGGTGTGTGAGCCAGAATCATAGATGATCAGTGAATGAATGGCACGAAAATTCCTATGAATAAAACTATAATAATTGTTGATTGTTATACTAAATCTACATAAAATCTTTCTATGATCGCGTGTAAAGCAATTATATTCGTACCATTATCACTAATCTAGTATATTATTTTATTATTGTAGAGATAAAAATTGATTAGAATTTAAAATTCATATAGTTGTATCGTAGATGATAAAAAAATTATTACAGTTTGTGTGATTGCTATTTATATACCACTAGTAATTATTTATAATTTTATCAGCTTGACTTTTTTCCAAACATAAATATAAAAATATATAAAAGACACCATTTTTACACATTTTTATGTTTTTAGTGATTAAGTTATTATCAATTTTACATTTTTTATGTAAATTTAATAATCTTCCAAAATTTTTATTTTAATTAAGATCCCAAATCAAACCGTAACATCCGTTAATAGCAGATTCCTGAGATCAAAAACTTTTGGAAACAAAAATCTTTATACCAAAATGTCTCGAAACTACTGTAATTTGTAAATTCAAGATGTTTAATCAGATTGTTAAAGTTGATTAATCAGATTGTCAAAAACTCACGCGCTCAGGCATGTCGCATTAATTTTTATATCCTTATCATATAAAAAAACCTTTGTATGCGACATGTTTGAACGCGTGAATTTTTGACAATCTGATTTATCAGCTTTAAACATTTTGCATTTAAAAATTACTGTAGCCTTGACATTTTAGTATCAAGATTTTCGTTTCCAAATAATCGTAGAAATCTGTTAACGAATATTACAATTAGTCAAAAATTACATTCAAAGAGTAAAAATTTATTGAATACAACTCTATACAACATGCAAATTATTAATTTTCCGAATGTAATTATTATTTTATTATACTTTTGCGCACAATTTCAAATCATTCACAAGTGCATCTACTGCTATTATAATGTCGAGAGACATCCACCTAACTAAGAATCGCTTTTTCAATCACTGATTGTTGCACCAAAAGTCGATTTTTAGTGTCCGAATAAACGAAAATTGAATTTTTTTATTACAGTTTTTAATTTAAAATCAATCTTTATTACTCGATTGAATATATCTTTAGATATTGTAGAATGAGATTTGTAACATTTTTCGCGTTCAAACGACAGTTGCATTGGCAGCTTTTCGCACGAAGCTTTCACGGTCGACGTCATACTGCCAGAGGTATCATTTCTCGCATGCACCAGCGAATCACCGCTGTATATTTACGAATCGCGAGTTTACGCGTCGATGTACGTCAGTTTCTAGAAATATGCGAGCTATACGATGTCTCTTGCGATTTATGCGAATATTTGGCGCATCGAAGGTAAATAATAAAAATCGGATCTAATAAAACGTTCTTTAAAAATTTAACGAGAAAATAATAAGTGCGCCAATCAGGTGATTGGCTGCGCGTAATAAATATTCGCGCGACTGATCCAAAGTTGTCGATTTATTTGCGCCGTGATATATCGTGCCAAAGAATGAAAGCTGATACTCTTTCATACACTCGTGATGTTAGCTTAATAGAATATTAATTATGTGCGATAAATACGCGATACGTTGATGGAAAATTACTGTTTCCGCGATAAGAACATCGATAATCTCCGATATTAAATATGAATTTTTCAAGAAGTAGTTTTAAGCAGAATAATAAAAGCAAATCATATTTATGACTAAAATAATAATGAAGAGTGCATAAATTGCAATTATCCCAAATACAAGGAAATAATAGTTCAAATGATAATTAAGTATGTATATCACGAATAAACGGATATTCGCTTTTAATTGTAAAGATACTTCGAACTGAACTGAAAAAGTTGAAAGTTTATTTTTATTGTGCTTTGAGAAAAATAAATCGATGATTCACAACACCGACCACAGACATTCGCGGAAGACGTTTAACGCGCGTCGCAAAAGCGTGTGAATGCAAGTGTTAAGTGTGCGAATTATAAACCCGGCGAGTGCTCACGCCTCCGCTTCTAAAAGGGGAAGTCTTAAATTCAAGCGCGGAGTTTGTTTTCGCGAGTTTGCTTCGCAAGACCCAAACTATGTCACTGTAGTGCAACGCTCCCGTGAGACGTGATCCGCGACCGAAAACGATTCACGCCAGGGCGAATTGTGCGTGTATAGCGAGCGCTCGCGTGTGACTGAGGAGCGAGCCGTGCGTTAAAAAGTTGTAGGTTTATTTTGGCTATCGCGCCGTTTGCCAAAAGGCAAACACAGCTGACATTGGCGATGACATAGCGATCGTCGACGCGACGTCAAACGACATTTTCACGATAAGTTGTGATCGACACGCGAAACGTTTTTCGAGCGATTTTTGGGAACAATGCTCGGAGAAGCGGCGAAAAGGAACGTTTCTGGCGCAAACGAATAGGCCTTTTGCACGACACTTTGCAAGAATAATTCTATTTTTGCATTACAAACTATAAACATTGGGACTAAAATCTCAGCTGTACTTTTTGAAGGACTTGAACGGAAGAGGAGCGGACGTCAATGCGGAATGTTTCAGAAAAACACAATCTTAAAAAACTAGCATCTTCATTTTTTTTCTCGTTCAATTTCGTAACTATACATAATTGTTTTTCTCACAGATACTTCCGCACACTTCCCTTAGAGATCTTGTTCGGCGAGACAAATTTCCCTCTCTCGCATTTCTATATCTTCATGTTATATTCGATTTCGTCTTTACGTATCACTGGTGCGCATCGTCACAAACCTAATGTCGATAACGATTTAATTCCGCCTACGCACATTAAATCTTGCTTATGCTCCTAACGCTGTTGCTCCACGAATCGAGAATAATCCTTTGGCGCAAAATTAGAATATCTAGAATTGTGAAAAACTTTCTGTTCTAAATTTGTTCATAAATATACTTTTTGTCCTTGTAATACAAAAGCTGTTGCTAAATAAAAAAAAAGAATCAATCAAAAATTCTAAGTCAATCAACAACTAAATCTATCTGCTTCCCAAGAATCCTTTAAAATACATTACAAAAATAATGTACATCTACAAGTAATTTTCTTCTTGAAAACAAAAACAATTTTCTTATCAATATATATAAATAGAATTTAAAAATTGAATACTATTAGATGGCAATTACTAGAGACATCTTTAGAACACTTCAAGAAACCTTACGAACCTTACGAACCTTCTGAAAAAATACACGATACCTACAAGATCATGCGTTGCGCTTACGAGCTCTGACCCAAGTAAAACTTTACAATCGAGCAGCTTATCGCGACTTCTTTCAAGCTCAAAATTCCACACGCTAATTCCGATCATCGCAAGCCTATTCTCTCTAGATATTTGCAAAATCTCTCTACAAACAGTCTTTCCTGCGGACCGCGTTCGATCGCTGCCTTAATAATCTTGATGTTGTCGACGCAAAACGATTTCAAGAGTATCACATGAGCCGCTGTAAGTAGATCGTCGTCGGTGGTTAAGCGTTTGTCTCGAAAAAGTAACGGCGTGAGGAGCGGCTCGTCGCGGCATCGCGCATCCGACAATTCGTCGTCGCAGTAACAAGCGTTTCTCGCGTATGTGACAGTGAACAGGGCGAGCAAGTGCGCCAGGAACCTACGATGGCACCACAAGGTCTCGTGATTGTCGTACATGGTGATGAGCTGATCGTTGTGCCAACACTCCTCAGCCCAGTACGACAATGCTTTTAAATAACACCTAAATTTTCGGACGTCGACGGGCGAGTAATCGTAGCCGCCGTCGTGATGCGCGACGTCGCGAATACGCTCCAGCAACGTCCGCTCATCGTCGTCGGGTTGATGGAGATTCATATAAATGAACAGATGATGCCTAATCGAATCGTCGTCCGTTGTTTCGGGAGAGAACTCCGTCGCCGTTGTCGTCGCCGCCGCGAGCATGCACTTCCGCAGCAGGAACTGCCGGTAGGAATACGCGCTATGATCGGACACGTGTTGCCGGCACCAAGTGAGGCTGCTCCGCCACTCGCTCTCGAGGCTAGGATGTCGCAGGCCACGGGACTCGCAGAGCGTCACCAAGCGGCGGCGATAGCTCCACGCGTGGTAGTTGCTCGCGTAGCGATCGGCGCAGGTGTCCGCGAGCTCGAGCTCGGCGCTGACGAGGGGCGAGGTACCAGGTTCCGGAGGATGGGCGACGTCGACACGCTCGACGTCCAGGACCAGGGGCATCAGCCAGCTACGATACGCGAATGCCTCGAAGCTCTTCGGCGTGTTATAGAGCACCGGCCGAGTGAGGAAGAGCTCGTCGCGCGCGTCTAGCCTGCCGGCGCGCACAAGTTCCCGCCGCATGTTCCAGAACGTCGTCACGTTCGGATTGATCAGCAGTGCGCCCAGCAGCCACCTAGCCACGATGCTAGGCTCCTCGCGCCGCTGATGACGTGTCCGCCGATATTCCAACAGGCGACGATGGGCGTACGTGTAGAGCGGCTGAACGCACCACGACGCCAGGGCCAGACTGTCCCCCTGATGGAACACCGGCGAGCGATTCTCGTTGTCTTCCATCGGCAGGATCACGAAGCTCCTTCTGAGAAGGCAAAGTCGCAATCGTGAATTCCCTCTTTGTTCGGTGTCCGACTGAATCGTAAAGCAAAATGTTCGCAAAGGCTCTCTAAGGCTTGGTGAAACTTGTCTTTGTATTGGTGCAAAAGGAGAACAAATATCGCTTCGAAACATTGTGAACTGCATGCATTGACATTTTTTGTTATAAAAAAAATCTTCTAATAAAATGTGCACATTCTTCTTAATATTAAAATATTATTAGAGTGAATCTATGTCTAACATATCTTCTTTTTAATTTTTAATAATTCTTATTTTATTCTAATTCTAATTAAACTTTGTTTTAACTAATGTTATTAAGCAAATATTTTTAGTAAAATATAATAAATTCAATCACTATTTTTATAGTCTCAATGAATATAATGTAAAAAGCACAAAAATAAAATATAATAAAATGATTTGTGTGCTTTTTGCAACAAAAAATGTACTATAGTGCATTTATTGAGTAATTATTACTTCGATATTTCAATTAGCAATACTTTTAATACAATCGGCAATGTATCTAAGATTTAATAACAGTGTCGTTTGGCGCAATGCTGATATCGGTGCGAAACGTATCCAGTTAGCAGTCAGTAAATTTACAAATTTCGTTGTGCTCAAAACCTTGACATTCGTTGATCCCAAAGTTCAATCAACAATTAACTTAAGCTGTTAATTGCCAGTACAACGAACATAATTTGCAGAAACGTTTCTAACAATTATTTTCTAACTTCGATAAAATAGCATCGTGAAAGTAATTCGACATATTTAATTCTGATCAATATCGCAGAAACTCTAAAGTGTGTACATGTAGTAATAAGATTTTTAATAAAAATAATACAATATTTAAAAAAAAAATCCATAATCACGTATCAGAACTACCAGGCGCCGCGGAACCGGGGGGACAGACGGGGGGACAGACGGGGCGACCGTCCACCCAGAGATAATTCAGGGGGGGCTACGCCCCCCTGAGATTTTTCTGTTTTCTTCAGGTATTTCATGACCGAGAATATTGAGCATCAAATATTTACATCAAAAGTGGAAAAGTGGGTTATTTTTCTTTTCTTTTTTTTTCTTTTTCCTCTTTTTTTTTTTACTATTTACTCGTTCAATTGAAGTACACTATATAACGAAGAAAATTAAGCGCACGAAGTTAATTAGAACAAAAAATCTGTGCATATTTTTCGTACATTTATACTACCCACTGAGTGGCCTATTATATGGGTTTGAATGGAGTTACATACATATACATATTATGAATGTATTATGTATCCCCTTTATAAATTTTGTCCCCTCAGATGAAAAATATTTTCGCGGCGCCTGAGAACTACACTGTCTAATAAATTGCTTTCGAAAAGAGTCTATCGAAATACTGAAAACACATTATCGCGAGAGCAACTCTGTCGGTCGCCGACACAAGAACCGGACTCGATGAAAATAAACCAAGCAATTAATGGAGTCGCATTACGCAAGTGGAATTAAAGCTCGTAAACAAGCCACGATTATTAACGCTCGATGCTCCCCGGATGGCGCTACTTTATGGCGCGAGCGGCGGATGCAACCGATTATTTACCACGCACACCTCGACCCTGTTTCTGCCGCGTGCATTTTTTTCCACGCTTTCCTATATTTTTTTTCTAATCATAGTCACGAACGCAAATTTATTTTAATACCGAGGTCAACAACACTGAAGTGGTGAGATTAATAGTACTCTCAGTTTGAGATAAATTAAAATTGAATTTAATGAGTTTTTTATCTCTCACTCAAAATGAAATACTCGAAATTCCCGAAAGCGTACATTTCACTTGTACTGTTACGGGTTTAATTTTTAATTTCACGGGACATGTACTGAGCTATTTCTTTATATATATATATTCATTTGAATCCTAGCTTAAGAGAAGATTAGCTTTATTTACGCTCGAAGCAATTCAAATAGATTTAACATTGATTTTTTTACAACTAATAATTTGCAACGTGGCAATTTACAAACGTTTACATTAATTATTGTATAATTATTATGCTACAATTTTGAGGGACATAAAATATCATTAACAAATTTGAATAATTGTCAAAGATTACAAAAAAACATTGAAATCTAGTAACAAACGAGTCTCTATTTATTTCTTTGTGTAAGAACTCTTTTTTAAATAAATAAATCCGAACAAAGTTCATAGCATAGAATTTTTCAGTGATATCGGAGAAGTTAATATTGTATCATTTTGCTCCGTTTTTCTCTCTCAATGTTTCATAGATTACGATCAAGCGCAATCAATTGCAGTTGCAGCGCGTGTTCCGCGGTGGACTTACAGTCAACTTTGCAACTATTATTGCACGTTGCTGTAGCGGCGACGAGTCGCGTGGGCGAAAGCTCGCGCGCGAGATCGATCGTCGCGTTGAATCGCGAGGTCAATTCGCTACGTCTGACTACTTGTGCGATCGCGATGCACGCTTTTTCCTTCCCCCCCAAAGATTCCACCCACGCAACTGCGCGATCAAGCCCGCGGTATCACATTGGGGTGCGTGTTTTTGTTGTCGGTTTGCGGGTGATGCGGTATGAGCACCGAAACGGTGCACTTAGGAAGAGCATTTAGGTTAGGATTCCTCACTGCGACATTCGCGATGATTTCAAATCGATAATACGTCCATTCTTTCACTTTTCACATTTTTCATATTTTAAATGAAACAAGTATGTATATTAAGGATCTAGATAGGGAAAAACGGAGGGAACAAAACTGTTGCGAGGTGTGGAAAGTCAACTAAAAATAGCAAACCTAATGTTACAAATTATGGAGCGTTACTTTCATAACCACAAAGATTAAAATTGTTGTAAGCTACACCGAATTTAAATATCATAGACACATAAGAGTGACCCTTCTGCGTTTAGCCGTGACAATAAAAATGTGACAATCGGTGCAAGGGCGTTTTTCGTGCACTTCGTAGATTGGAAATTCAGTTTGCCGGAACTTTGCCGGTTTCGATTCTTGACTATAAGATGTAGATGTGAGAAAGGAAATAGATGGAAAAAGGAAAGGAAACACTCACATAGTAGGATTCCTCCTGATTGTGTTCTCGATGTCGCGGAGGATCTTCTCGGCGGCCGGGAACTCGTTGTCCACCATCGTACGAGCCGTATCAACATCTCCCTCGTGGATGTAACAATCGACAGCGGACGCGCCAGTGACCACAGCACCCTCGCGTCCTTTCTCTCTCTTTCTGTCTTGCCGCGTCCGCACGACACGTCCCGTGTGGTGTACAACGGTGCGGCACTTCGCTCTGCGGAAGCGCTGACGGAGTGCGGCAGGCACGCTTAGCTGCGCGCGGCGCCAAATCGGGCCGGGCGCGCCGCTCAGGTTCGCCAACCTTACGCGTTCGATACATGGACCCGGCTTCACATTCGACCATGGAAAAGATCGAATAACATAGATCGAATGCATAAATTTTCGCGAAAGTTGATAAAATACAAATATTTCTTAATCAATATTCCAAAAATTCACACTTAAATTTCAGATTTTATGCAAATCGATTTCGAATACTTGATATGAGCTATTAAAATCAAACTTTCACGAGATTTTTCATTACTACATATATAATTTTGTTAATATCAACTATAATGCATCACGTTTGCTCAAATAGCAAGCGATCATCTAACGTTATTTTGACGTCATAATAACCGATTAAGTTTAAATTATTAATTAGAACAAAAAGAAGTCGGACCGCTTGTTACTTCGATCCTCAATACATTTTATTGTCTTCCGAAAAATCATCACACTACGAATAATCGCCATTAAAGGTTGCCATTCAGATAAGGTGCCATTAATGGTCGTTATTGACATTAGACAACGTGTACAAAATTCATTCAATGTCTTATCGCGCTTTGATAACGATAATTATACGTACCACGTATGCTCGTTGTATGATTGAAGATTCACATCCTCCGTTTAAAATATCACCTTTCAACAATACATGTAAATATCGTTCCAACAGATATGTGAACATAGTACCTGTCATGCGTCACTGCATTAAAGAAAATATAAATTATGCATGACAGATGCTAAATTTCTAAATTATTCATGAATTTTTACCTTTATCGTGACGAAACCTAAACAGCGTCACGCGCCATGAACGAGAAAGAACGAAAGTGCTGCCAGTGCTACCACCAGTATTGTCGGATTAGGGTATATTCACACAAACTTGCATAGACGCAAAACATAAGCATAAGGATATGGGTTGATTCGTAAGAAGGTGCGTAAGAAAATGGACCAATCTTTATGCGCTATGTTTGACAAGATTGCACAATATCGAACGAAATTGACCGTTCGAAATCTATTGCGATCCAACGTGAAGTGCGTGCGCGAAGTCAATACATAACCCCATCGTGTGCAGTGTTGAATACAATCTTATTTTTCTTGACTCATCTTGCCTAATAAGGCAAAAAAAAAGAAAACGAAGGAACACTCGACTCTTAACGTGTACGAATCCACACTTCTTTCGTTTTCACGTTTAAACGGGTTAAAAATCCGCGCGAACGTGCGATAAATAATGTCTGATCCGCGTATTAGAACACTCAAGATTAAAACAGGAGTAGTGAAACGCCTCGCGAAAGAAAAAGTCACGTACGAGAAAGAAGCGGCACATCAACGCGAAAGGATACAAAAATTGAAAGAGCAGGGTGAGAATCATTTCTAACCACGAAGAAAGAAAGTTCAATTCCGCACACTAAGCATGTGGCATTGAAATGTTTTATTTTAGCTGCGTAATATATTCGATGACTCACAGCTAGATTTGCTTCATTATAATGAGTTGAAATTTAATTTATAACATTTAAATATGTTTTCATTAAAATTTTTATGTGTTTTTAATAATATCTAGTTGCTTTTTCCGACATTAACTTTTTTTACTTTTAATGTTATTTTTTTTTTTTATTTCGATGTTTACAAAATACTATTGTACTACTTTTTACATAATACTATTGTATTGCTACAAAACAATTTTATTTGTATTTATAATAATGTCTTATTATGTCTTATTGCAGATAAAGATGGCTATGATATAAAGAAGCAAGAGGAGGTGCTTCAAGAATCTCTTATGATGGTACCAGATTGTCAAAGACGTCTTGTTAAAGCATTTGAGGAACTCAAAAAGATATTAGATACAGAGGAAGATTTGAAAGAACTTGAGGATTATATCGAAGCGGAGAAAGTGTTGCAGGAGGCAGAAGCACAGCTACCGAAAGAAGGAAATATCTTAGATAGATAGATATATATATCTCTTAGATAGATGTGTTAAAAAGTGCTCTGATGACTGGTGATTCCACTAAATTCTTAAATATTCAATAGTATTATTTCTCACTTTTGCTAATCCTTTATGATTCAAACAGACTAATTTTACACATTAATGTTATAGTCATTTCATTTTTTATTCTTATTATTCCTAATTGAGTACACATCTATAAAAGAAATATGTATAGTAATCAACCTTTCCAGCAAAATGCTGGACAGTCTTATGAGAATATGCATTTTAACATGTATTATCCAATAACTCAACAACCATTTGCATATGATACAAATTACAGCAGGAATATGCATTATAATGTTTATTCAAGCCATGTAACATGTGATAACAGTACAGTTAATAACGCGACATCAATCGATAGAATAAGGGCGCGACAAGAAGATGAAAAGGCCATTGAACAATTCCTCCAACAAACTAAATTGCAAGTTCCTATCAAAAGCAAACAGAAAGATCAATTTAAAATCGCGACTATCAAGAGCGCATTGATATCAGCGGTTAAATTAAATAAGAAACTTGAGGCAGTTTGCGCAGAACTCAAAGACAATGTTGATTTACCAGAAGCGGAATGGCAGGAGAAGGTCAGCGCATGCAATATTACAAAACGTGAAATCTCCGAAATATTGAAAACTCTAAAAGAAACTGGTTTTATGAATAAAGTTAAGCAAGATCTAAAGAAACGCGAGAAAAAACGCATGAGAGAACGGCTTAGAAGAGAAAAGTGGAAAAAGGAGAAATTAATGAAGGAAGAAAGAAGAACGAGGATGCATACAGAAGCTGATTCATGGATTCGAAAAGAACAAGCGGTAATCGAGCGAGAAAAACAAGAGCAAAGCTTGCGCAAAGATGCAGATATGATTTTATCCGACGTTCGTAGCAAGAGAAGCGATGCACGAAAGTATCTAGGAATTTTGCAAGAATTACAGAACTTACGAAAAGTAAAAGTGAATATCGCTCGAGCGAGAGGCGAGAATTTGCCTTCAGCAGCTGATGAAGCCTTTAATAATTCCATCAGTAATGTTATTTTATTACTATAAAATGCATTTTTGCGAAAAAATTATGAATTTTTCAAAAATATATCTTACATATTGTATATAATAGAATATTCTCTAAAAATAAAATAAAAATAATTTTTTACTCACATTTTTCGCAAAAGTGATATAAATTATATTAATTATTTTAAATAATAAATAATAATATATGTTACAGCTAAGTTAACAGAACAATGGACTATTTTGGATCGCAACTATGCAACAGAAGAACAGGAATTGAAATTGATGCTGAAGACAGATAACGAAAAGAGAATCGAAAAACAAACGCAAAATTTATTTGACGATTGGGAGAATGTGTTATTTGGCACAAATATATTGACTGCTGAGCAATCTTACAAGGATGTGAATAGTTTTATTATAATTCGGTATATATTCAATGTTGAACAATCAATCTTGAGTAATATATCAAAAATACTTTTTTAATCAAAAAATGTTTGCATTTTAGTACGGCCTGGGATAAATTCATAAGTTCTGAAAACGCTGCAACAACGATTCCGATTGGATGGATAGTGCCTGAAAAACCATCTTCTGCTGCTTGGCAAAAATGTCTCAACAAGGAGACTTCTTGAAATAAGTGAATGTGTCAATATAATTTTACTTAACAAAATAAAAACCAATTTCCTACGATAACATTATAAACGACGCGAATTATTACATTACGATATCATTTGCCATGTTTGATCCTGCAAAAGTTGTCGAAAAAATCAAAAAATTTGGAAAAAAACCGATTGCTACAAATGGGGAATATTTCAATTATCTCTTTCTTTTCAGTTATTTCAGAAAAATTCAATTATTATTTTATTGCAAAATTATATACAAAAAACATTATTTTACACTGGACAATATGTTTATGCTATACTCAAGACAAGATCTCTTTCTGTCTGAGCGGCATTTGACGGCTCCAAGCTCTGACTATCTTTTACAGCAGAAATCGAAGAAACCGATTCTGCACTGGACAATACCATTTGCATGGAACCTTGCAATTCTGCCAAAGCTGTAATTAACTGTTCCTCTTCTTGTAGTTTTTGCGCTAATATCGTGAACATTTTCCGAGATTCTTCCGAAAGTTCGTCTAAGTGGTCCTCGTATACATCTGTTAAGACAGAAAATTTTATTAAAGAGACGAGATCTTAAGAGAAAATCCAAAAAAATAATATTTAAAACCTACCTAATAAAACGTTTGAAACATGTAACAACACTCGGCCGAAACGAATGCTACCGATATATTTGTTCAAGAACTTGATGATATTAACCAGTGATTTGCCATCCCTACCAGCTAAAGCTCGTCTTAAGCCTTCCCTTCTGATAAGCTCTTGTGTAAGTGCGACGGTGACATGCGGCATTTTATTAACCACATAATTCATCATGACGCAATCGAGTGCCTTACTGTATTGAAACTTTCGCAAACAAGCATCGTGCTTGCTCATTATTTCTTTGACTTCCTGCTGCACAACCACGTCAATACTTCGCACGTGCAGATTTTCGCCTGCGTGCCTGTACGACACCTTTTTCCGTTTCGGTTTCACAACATCCTTCACGTCTTCTTCGCGTCTCCTCACAGAAATCAAACCGTCCACCATACCGGCTACGACTGTCTCGTCACCAGCCTGTAATTTAATGTTAATGCAATTAATTACATCCATTATTCTGAATTGCTTAATTTAATAATTTCTGAAGATTAAATAAATATGGATGCAAGCGTAGATGTCAATAAAAATCAATGAATGAATGTATTCTTACACTAATTCCTATGCTAAGAACCGCATTAGGATAATCCAAAGTATGAAGTGTCTTGTATGTTCCAGCATCGTAGACTTTAACATGCCTATCCAATGAACCAGACAATATTCTATGGCCATCGGAGGCAATTTTCAAGCAAGTGACCGTTTTGTGATGTTGAGTAATTTTAGCAAGTAACTTGCCACCTGTTAGAGCGTCCCACACTTTGATATCCGTTCCACCTAAAAATTGCAAGTAAATATTTTTGTACATAAAACATTAATCCCTTAAAATTATACATCATAAAAAATCGTATATTAATGTAAAAAATCAATTTTATTAAATTATAATCAGTATGTGCATCAAGCAATTATTATATAAATTAATTTAGAGCATATTATACATACCTGCAGATAAGAATATTCCTCCAGTTGGCAAAAAGAGTAAACTTTCCACTGGCGCATCATGATTGACACTGAGTATCTTTTTATTTGTTCTGCTATCATACATATGTATGATCTTGTCATATCCACCAGATAATAATACATCAGTAGACACAGGGCTCACAGCACCAGCTCTGATATAATCAGTATGTTCATTAAAACTCATCAGCTGTTTTTCACTAGGTATATCCCATAATATTACGGTTTTATCGTCAGAGAATGAAGCTATGTGATGGTCATCAGCTGTGAAAAAAGCTCTATGCACCGCAGCCTTATGTCCAGAAAAAAGACGTAACATGCTATTTGAACCAATATTAAAGAGTCTAACCACTGTTTCCTCTCCACCGGCACACAGCAGTTTGCCATCTCTACGGAAACAACCTCCATATGCAGCTTCTTTAAATCTGCTGTACGTTTTTGTGACCAACTTTGTGATAGGATTATATACCTGCACTCGTACAGAGCAGGTAACTGCAAAATAATGAGGCTCTACAGGAGAAAAGTCAATGTAGTCTATTGGGCCAAATTCTTTGACTAAAACTGGAGGCTGTAAATATATAATTATAATATATTATTATTATTATATATTTCTTAATATATAAATTTACTTGACGTGTATGCAACAGAAATTAAAAATTCTAAGGCTTTCTTAAGAGCAATGTAAATATACAATTGATTTTATGTAAAAAATCAGTAGTTCATAATGTAAAATATTTCTAAATTATAATATAATTTAAAATTATAATAAATACAAATTCATATATTTATTTTATAAAAAATATGTACATGTTCAGGAAACAATTTTAATTTAATCTTTCATGAATAAAACCAATATATATTGCTGAAGATGTAAGCAGAAAAAAAACTCCAAAAAGCGACATGCAAGTCTATAGGTTATGTTACATACACGTGGATGCAATGTTGATAAAAATTATTTTGCATCACTTCCTTTACTTAAATAAATCTTAACTACGTACTGTGTATTTCTTCCAATATATGTTATCTTCTGTTAATTCCGGCCCCGCTCTGGTAAACACTTTAGTATTTATTTTCTTGAACGACGCCATCTTTTAAAAAATAGCTATCATATTCATTAAGTATAAAAAATGCGAAGACACGTAGTAAAAGCCGTGTTTCAATATACACTGCCAGTGCTGGCAGTATTGAAATGTCGTTCCATTATTGGCGTGCGATGCAATGTAACAGCATTTATTAGGGTGGTATTCATAATTTGTTCTTACATCAGAAAAAAATCTATATTTTAAACAATTAGAAATAATTTTCAAAAATAATAAATGCAATTTTAATTTTTTTTTTAAACAAAATAGCAATAAAATGGAAAGAAAGACAGAATGTATATCCCCATCTTTGTCACTCAGTTGGTGCCACGATTTGAACTTCAAGGCATCTCTAGGTTTATAAGCTCTATGCTCGAAATGAACATTGTCGTTTTAAACCATAGAGGGGGAAGGGGAGTTCAGACGATCCGAGCAAAGATAGGAGAGGGGGACACAAGCTGATGTTGACAGTTGGAAAATGCACGTGGTGGAAAACTCCTATAAATCATCATGCACGTATTGACGATGCTGATCGCTTAAATCATGATATTGCAATAAACATTACCATTCCCCGAGTTACGATCGGAATAGTATTGACGCTTTGTCGGTGTACTTGGGTTATTAAGGCGCTGAAGTGTCGCTTTCAACATGGCGGTACCGTTCGTGCAGTCACCCCGTACGTTTCTCTGCTTATCATGACGACGCTGGATCATCCCGACTGCGCGCAATCACTTCGCATTCCCGGCTTAACGGCTCTCGGAATTTCGCACGAACGACGCCCGTGAACATCTGATAAGCAAGTGAGGTTATATGTGACATTTCGCAATACATTTGTCGAGAACAATCGAGGCACAAGGCATCGCTCACGACCAGTTGACCTTCCGTTGCAAAGCGTGGACTTTACAAAGCTGCGTCCCAAAACCAGGACTGATATCGTGTTGCCTGCCTTGATATTCATAGTTGGTTTCCATCGAGTTAGAAAAAAGAGAAGATCTTTTGAGGTCTTGCCCGTCTTGACCCGTGCCGCGGCCCATCTAACATAAATCTTCGCACCGCAACTCTCTTTTCGCATTGTTTTCCTGCGAAAAATCTACTTACTGGAGCGGTAAGTAGTAGCAACAAACTGGACAAAATAGAAATTCCTGTCCTTTGTTTTTAATGATTATGGATTTTCGAGATGGATAATCAAGCTTATTGTTCATTACTTAGTTCAGAAATGCCATCTAGGCAAAGCTGAGATTTGCATGACATAAAGATAGAGAGAGAGAGAGAAAGAAAGAGAGAGAATGTCTGTGTGTGTGTGTGTGTGTGTATGTGTGTGTATGTGTACATGTGAGAGAGAGAGAGAGAGACATGAAGAAAATGACTTTTATATCTTTCAAATATAAATATTTATAAAGATAAGAGAAAAACATTTTTTTAAGAATTTTTTTAAAACTATTATTTGTTTATTATAAAAACTATTTTGTGTATGTTGCTTTGTCTTACAAGATAAAAGTTCTTATTTTTCTTATATATTTTCTTGTTGAATAATATTAAGATTTCTTCAAAACTTTTAATTTATTATTATATTTATTATTTTTTCGGAAACACTACATATTTTAAAGAATTTTAATGATTAAATTAGAGAAAAAGACTGTTTGTGTGTATATGGAACTTTTATTGCTTCAGTTTTTTTTATCAAGAAGGACTGGTTTATCAATCTTCCCTGTACACACTCATTCCTCCATATTATCTATATCTTGTACTATTCTTCCTACTCCTTTTCACTGTTAATAATTCCAAGTCTTTTATCCTATCTATTACTAACCACTCTTTCCTCCCTTAGTGACTTTTATCCTAGTCATAGATACATTTTATTCAACTAATATTTACTACAATACAATTAATAAGCCTCTATTCCTCTTTTTTTTCCTAACCTTGTTAAATCTATGATCGTAATACATTAATTGTCCAGCAGTGTACACTTTTCATAGCCTCTTTTTGTTCCTATCGCTGTCTATGCTCCTTCTTTGACTCTTATTTTTTTTTTTTCTTCCTTTCTCCTTTCATTATTTTTCTTTCTGTCCAGCTCTTTATTTTAGTTCTCTCTGCTCTTCATATTCTAGTTGCTGCTCTCCATGGCCTCCTCTGGATCTTCCAGTGATTTTATATGGTAGATTTCCATTCCTATCTCTTATTATTTTTTGTTGTCGTCTTTTACCTCGACCTTTTCAATCTTCCATTGTTTACTTTTGTTGTTAAATTCTGTGGCCATTCTTGGACCTTCCTCGTTGCCATTGCCTCTTGAACCGTTTTAAGTTTTCTCATTCTTCTTTATCCATCCTTCCTTTTCTTCCTCTTACTACACTCCTCAGTTTTTTTTATCCCTCTGTTTAACTTTTCTTCTACGCTTATGTAGGCTCCTCTGCCTTCTGTTTTCGCATTTAAAAGACTGCTTATATAATAATTAAGAAATACACGAAAATATAAGAATTTGTAAAAATTATGCTGACTGATTTTTTTATTGACTTTTCTAGATTAAAAGTCACTTGTTGAAGATACTTTGCACTGGTGAATGTGCTGTGTGTCAGGCCACCTACAGATTATCTCTAAATAAATAAAACTACATGTAGAATATTCCTCGCAATATTATGAATTTACACACACATACACATTGATTGGAGAGTTTTATTTAATATACGATAAAATAATCCAATTAATTGCACTTAAGAATACTTATAATAAACTTGCATAAAACAGGAGTAATAGAATAGTTAGATTAATTTATAGAACAAGAAGTTTTGTTAATGTTTTCATTGTAGAAATAAAAGTGTCAGAAGCTATTTTTATTAGCTACAAAAGGATTCAATTTGTATATCATATAAATGGTTAGTAATTAATAAATAGTAAAATCAAAAAGTGCTGTAAGTAGCTTAGTCTTCTCACTACATTTATTTAGTGCAACTTTAATAATAGATTTTAGTCTATTGTGCCTCCTTGTTTATCACTGGTTACTTATCTCTTTGCCAAAGGAGAAGCACAGCCTCTTTTTGAGCTTCTCTAAATCTTTAAAGTTTATTAAGACATAGAGATATTTACGATCTGACAGTAAATGTATCAATTAGTATTATTATAACTTGCCAAAATTTTGTAAATAAATATTTAGGTAAAATAAATAAAAGGAGAAAGAAAGAAAACGATAGATACAATAGCTTGCAAGAGACTGATACGAAACGAAACAATTATTCAAGTTGTATGTTATTGACATACAATTATTTCCTCTGTATTTGGCATAAATAACTTACATCTAATATTGTTTTTTGCTAAAATATATATATAAATTTTTCCTATTCGGTAATAATACTCCGTGTTCTTTGCAAGTTGCCTGAAAGTTGTAAAGTCTATTAAACCTTTAATTAGAATAATGGCTGAGACACTAAGAACAGCTGTATACGGAAGACAGCCTCCGTGCGCCAGTAATAGCAGATTGGTGGAGCGGCGGACTAAGAGGTAAATATAACAAAATTGTTAATGTGAAAGTTTCAAGGTGTCCTGTATTCTTATTAAATTTTTCGTTTGTTTCAGAGTGGCGTTGCGACACGAGAGAAATCGGAAACCGGACAAGCCGGACGATTTTGTGTGTTATGAGTCGAGTGATGACGAAACCGAGACGGTTATCGAGGGCAAACAATTTCTGAGGACGTCGTTTAACTTTGTGGATTATGTGCGCGCGCGAGAAACGAATACGCATGAAGTGCGAAAGATAAATCAAGAATATGGCTCCCGGCATATATTGACGCACGATCTGTTTAAAGAGTATTCGGTTAGTCTGAACAACATGAACAAAGTATTCTGTTCGCAATGGTTGAGCGACAGGCAAGTGGTGTTTGGTACAAAATGCAACAAGCTCATGGTTTACGATGTGGCGACGCAGAAGCTAGATCAGATCCCGTCTCTTCATGGAAGACAGCTCAGTCCAGGCGGTAACGTTATGCCCGAACAGCAATGCGGCATTCATTCCGTTCAAATCAATCCCTCGAGGTGATTCTGCTCTCTTTCTCATCCTTAACAGCCACAACACCTGCAGAAACAAAATGACTTCAAGTGCTGATCCATATTATTTCTGTCTTGTAGAACACTTTTATCCACCGGAGCGAGAAATAGTAACGAAATAGCGATATATAGATTACCGACTCTGGATCCGGTTTGTGTCGGCGAGGGCGGCCACAGGGATTGGGTGTTCGACATGTGCTGGTTGGACGATGAGTTTTTAGTATCGGGCTCTAGAGACACGAAAATGGCGTTGTGGCGTATCGACAGTGATCTCGCTGAATCTCCGGACAAAGCGGATGTGCCTACACATAGGTAACAAATATACAATTAACGATAAAGAAAGCTCTTTTACCATTGTTTGTCTTTGAGAAATTGCATTTTACGCTACACAATTAAAATCTCGGTCTTAGATTATAATAATAAAAGAAAAAAAAACAATGGAGAATTAGAAATATATTTTAATAATAGTTATAGTATATTATCAATAATATTCGTAATTTTTAATGATAATTATCGTCTACTGTTTAGGTTGATTCAGCCTGTCTGTGTAAAAGAATGCAAGTCCGCTCAGAAAGTACGAGCGCTAGCATTCAATAAAGCATATAAAGAGATTGCAGCCCTGACGCTCAATAGTTTTATACATATCTGGTCGGCCGAATCATTCAAGCAGAAAATATCCAGAAAACTGCCAGCCTGTCAAGAGAACGTTTGTCTCGCCGTACAAGACGATGGTGTCTACGCAATTGGATGCAGATCTTACACTCTTCTTTTAGACGCACGTACTTTACAACCAATTAAAAAAATACCATCGAGGTAAATAACGCTTTTTTCTCTTTTTCTCGATATATCTTAACTTTGTTTAATAATACAAATAAATTTTTTTTATACAGATACAGCGGTTGCGGTATTAGATCAGCAAGTTTTCAAGGGTCCGTTTTAACTATTGGAACCGGTTTAGGAATGCTTATGTTTTATGATGTTAGAGCTCAGAAATATCTGGAGTCTTCTATAAACTCTAATAGAACTGTTGTATTAAAAGCTTCGAAAGGATACGTGGTAAGTCTTGTTGTATTATCTAAAAACAGCGGCTAAAAAATTAATACGTTGATAAAAAGTTAAATACTTACTGCATTCTGCAACAATTAACATAATGCGAAATTGAGATGTTTCATTCGAGCGATTAAGATTTCCGAAAATGTGTCAATCATAAATACAATGTATTTTATGCATTATTATGGAAAAACTTACGTGTTTATTCTGAGAATTGCGTGTTATTAGTTTCCAGATGAAGAATACATAGACGGTTTCCAGAATGTGAAGTACACCCCCGCTATTTATACACATTGTTACGACGCATCAGGTACCAGGCTATTTACGGCGGGCGGCCCATTGCCCGCGAATTTGTATGGCAACTATGCAGGATTATGGCAATGAAGGTTTAAGGTTAAGTGAATGAACTTAGTAATTGCTAAATTAAACGATTAGAATATAAGTTGTATGTGTGTCATGAAAGGTCTGATGCCTGTTTAGGTAGTCTGTTTATTTGAGAATTTGGCTATGTGTGTATGTTTAACATTTTTCATTAATTTAATGATTCTGGTCTCGACAAGACGATAAATTTGTCAAATTTGTCAAAAATTTCTTGAATTATTTTGACAAATTATTTTGACTTGTTGAGTTCTTTCTCTTTTTATAAATGATTAATCATACATCAAAATGTGCTAGAAGCAATAATTTATTATGTTACAGTAATTTCATATTGTATATTGAGTGATGTAGAAGTCTTTTTTCTTTTTTTTTCTTCTGTAGCATATCTTTTTAATTTCAATAATATATGACAATTCGATATCCCACTAATTTACAAAATACAATTTTTTAAAATAAAATATAATTTTAATAAAATATTTTTAAATATAATTTTTTAAATAATGATCAGTGTTAATTTTTTACAATTTTAAGTTTTTACAATTTATAAACAAATATTACAATCAAAATACAATTTAAAAAAATTTTTTTTTAATTTGTGTAATCAAAATTGTATTTTGATCACTTTTATTACGTATGAATCATGATTGAAAAATAATTATTTCAATCTATTTAGATATTATGTGATTAACATAAATGATGCTTCACTGATTCATAAACATAACCAGTCTTTCGAACAATCACGGTGCAATTAGACGTTTTCACGTCAATAATATTAAAAAGTGATATAAATTTTATCACTCGATATTTATAAAAATACGTGGAAAAATTATTTAGAATTATAATGAATTTTTTTTATTTAAATATTTAAATTATTTTACTTTATTAAAAAACAATAATAAAATATCGAATTTTTAACACAAAAATTTTTATTTACATTTAATTTCCTAAGTTTTATTTTAATTGAAGTTGGACTAGACAGAAAAAATTACCGCTAAAATTCTGTATCATAATTGTATTCTAAAAATAGTTAAAAGATATAATAATCTGCAGTTAAATTGTTTCTCAGAATGTCTATATTCGTAGAAGTACATTCATCAAACATCCTTTTTTTTTTTTTTATCTGAGCTTAATGAAGTAAATATTTTAAATAATCTATGAAATTTTATGTTGTTAAGTAAGCGAATTTGTGATTCATAATTTCTGCATACAAATATGATACAATCTATACATTGTATGCGTTGTTACTATTTTCAGAATGTTGTAATGCAATTGATTAATACGCTGAAGGTTTCTCAAAGATGTGTGGCTGATTTGATTCGAGATGATAATGTACACGGATCTTCTTAGGTATATACAATGCGAATGATAGCTTGAACAAAAGCTTTAACAAGAAAATCAATTATATGTATATACTCAATATAAAATCAATTTATATATATATCAATTTATATATATATATATATATATAAATTGATT